AATGCAGCATATCCGTATTTGGTGAGTCTCCCCACCAACTTTCATCACAAAGTTACACCCTTGGTAGACATCAATGGCTGCAGCCTTATCAAACACTACATTTTGTTCTTAGCTGAAGGACACCGCTCCCATTTCATTCTCAAATATTTACCACATACAGAATGAAGATTAGAACTGTATATCCGTACATAGGAATTGTTCTAATTAGATAAACTATTATTGAAAACATAAGTTCTGACAAGCAACAGGCAGCTAATATTAAGGTGTTATAAACTCACACATAAATGATAATTATACTAACAAAATGTATTTTTACATTTTATGTCAGGCCCACATTCCCTTCACAATGCATTTCACAAATATCACACAGTGGAAGGGACACCACCTCCGTCGTACATTTTCTTTTAAAATTACAAAGCACCCACGTTTGGGTAATAATTCTATTGCAAATTATGATTTAAATGTTTATAAAGTGGCATTACTGTGATGCTTTTGAGATTTGGACTCGTTTCAGAATGGTGGAATGGCTTGGGTCCTGTAGGCTCTCAGACAGACCATTAGCTACATTCAATTTATGTCAAAAAAACAAAACTGCAAGACTGCAAGAAAGCCTTCTACTGCTGATAAAATAACCTCAAATCAAAATATTAAAAGTCAATAAAAAATTGTATATTACAATCAGAAGTAGTGTTTTACAGGTACAAGGAATTGTGTTGGCGATTAGGTGCAATGCACAGACAAGGAAACATAGTTTGCATTCAAAGCTTTTGAAATACATCATTCGGATAAGACAAATGCAAGTATTGAGTTTTATAAGACTAAAGTAGAAGAGTGCAACATAATGAAGAGGAAAATAGAGACAACTAGTTTAGGAGCTACTTTAAGCTCTGCTATTTTTGTGAGGTAATATCGAGTCAAGCAAAATGCTCCTTTTGAAAGAGATTCTTGGATGTGTTGATTTGGCACTAAATAAAATAATTTCAATGAACAAGACATCCTGATTTTAGAAGGAATTAAATAAATATAACAAGCAAACAACATTGTACGTGTTGGAAATTTCCTAACAGACATACCTCATCACAAATGTGAAGTGCAAAGATAAAAGCCATAAAGCCAGTGGATGGATAGTTTCCTTTCTTTTTCAGCCAGATCTCATGAACATATCTCATAAAGGCTGGATTAAGCACCATGACCTGTTAAAAAAATAAAAAAGTTATTTTATAAGACTCAAAATTACCTTTCCTGCTCAACTAGAAATATCATTCTGCACCTCAAACTCACCAAATCTTTGTTAGCTTTGATCTTGGTTTTTATTGGTGCATATGACCTGTTAAATAAGAAAAGCATTGTTAAGAACAAATTTCATCGCTGGCCTATAGAAAATAATCTATTTCACATGTAAAGTAGTAATCTGATTTTTTTGACCAACATACAGTAAAGTGTTCCATACAGTAAGTGTGATCTAAGAAGAAACGCATATATAGTTGATCTTTTTTTATATTTAGCTAAAAAGCGTATCCAAACAGCAGGAAAAGCATTTTAGTCAGTACTTCATATCAAAACATTTTGTTGCACTAATGCTGCATCCACTCCATTTTTTGAGCATCAAAAAGGCGTCACTTTGGATGCTGAGGCACCTGGAAGTCAGATGTGCATTGAAGCACTTTTGACACCATTGATGAGCGTTGTGCAAAGTGTGTTCAGACGCTTCTGACAGGCATTGCTTGTCAGCATTATTTGCTGTAGTGAGGGAGAAAATCTTTGTTTTAGGATTCATTTAAGCAAGAGTGTGCACCTTAAAACTTAATCATTGTAGTCAGTTCATCAGGACTTTGATTATAGCTTTAGATGTTCTGTTAGTGACTCTACCACAAGCCCAATATGTGCAATAAGTTCATTTGCAAGTGCATTCAGCTATATTCATCTATGTCAAAATGAATTATCCAATTACGGCAGTTAAACCTACATATTTCTTATTTTAAAATCATCAAAGAATGCTAAAGTACATCTTATACCTAATACTAATGACTTTTGTCTAAAGTCATCATTGGACAGTCTGGCAAAACATGATTACTCCTTGTTTATCTGCATTTTTATTTTTCATCTTTAGACTATTATTGAAGAAAAACAGTCTCATAGGAATCTGCCTTTTTTTTTTTTTTTACACCGAATTTTAAACACTGAATTTTTTAGACATTGAATTCCTTACAATCATTTTTTATCTGGTAAAAATTCACCAGAAAAAAATCAGCTGCAAAAGTGTTGTCCTTTTGGTGAACTCAAGCCAAAGCAATCTACACTTGATAGAGTCGAGCAGCTTCTAGCCAATGAAATTAGCTAATTTGGTCACATGACAACGGCTGCCCCCAGCGCTGTTTCCGGCTGAATGAGGCTTTTTTTTTTTGTGTTAAACAGATAGAATTGCAAAACGTCAGCTACTAACAGACAGCTATTAGAGTTTTTCCTCTTATCAGACTTGGTGAAACAACTGAGCCGATCACAGCTAGTACGGCACCCCTGTCTGCCAAGGCTCTTGGTTTGATCCGGAAGAAGCTGCAGGTGGCAAACTGTTTTTCTTCTTCGGCTCTGTTCGAAAAC